TTTTTTTTTTGGCCTGTTTGACGTATGTGTGAAGCAATGTTGTCCAACAATAAACCGGAATTTTATTTTGCTGAGTTCTAACAGCTGTCTCAGGTGTTGTTTTTTCTATGTCAAATGTTATCGGTGCTGGAGGGTGGTGTAAGGGTGGCTGGGGTACCATGCTCAGTCCTCTGGTGGGTTATCTGGGGTAAGGGAAAGGGAGGTTGTGAACATGACATCCCATACGTTTGTGACTTGCCCACAGGTATTTGGGTGGAGTCCACAGGCTCTGGCACAGCTTTCTGGGGCCTGGGAGTGAGACACAGCCAAGGCTCTAGAGATGCCTGCTGGGATCCTGCAGCTGTGGCCTTGCTGTGCTCACCTCTGCTGGCTCAGGCATAGGGCTGTTCCCCCCCTGGTAGTGGTATGAGATTTGCCTTGGGTACCAATCTTCAGGAGGTTGGCTAAGCTTGGCCTGTTTAAAGGGGATGGGCTACTGGATTGATGGACAGGAAACTTGCTGTGTGAACCCTACAGGTGGAGGGGATTAGGAATTTTGTCGGCCATCTTTTGCCTGGGGTCTGCAATTAGCTTCAGGAATAGTACCCCATATTACACCTTTGGACTTTTGGTTTTGAAGCGCTTACCCCTTGTGAGTGGAGACAGGCCTGGCCACCATACTTGAATGGGAGACACGGGATTTCCTGTCCTGTTCCACCAGTGGTGGGGTGACCCCTCAGCCTCTTGTTCCATGAGGGAGGCTTGCCTCTGCCTAGTGTGTCCAGGCTACAAGGCCAGTGGGTAGGGTGGGGTGTGCTATGATGACAGAAAAAGCCTGGCAGTTACCTCCCATTTGGCCACAAACAGCCTCTAGAAGCCTGCAGTGTGCGTTCTGGGGGTACGGGGAGTCCCTGGTGGAGGGAGATGGGAGTTACATCATGTCACTGCATCCTCCCTCCTACAAATCCTGCTTCCCCCCCCCCTGGCTTGGAGGATCAATCAGGAGACGTGTCGGGTATTACTAACAGGTCCCCAAACCCTCATGAGTTACCATGCCAGCAGAGGGCAGTGTGCCACAGCCAAGGACGGATTAGGCACCAGGCCTCCAGCCCAGGCAGCATTTAACAGTCCGGGAAGATAAGGCAAAGGTGTAGGACTGAGGGTTTGCCAGCACCAAGAACCTGGAGGAGCATTGGTGGGGGTAGGGAGTAAGACCGTTAACTACAAGGTTGATGGTTCAGGCCTACCAGTTGCTCTGAGGAAGAAAGCTGAGGCTGTCAGCTCTAAGGATTTACAGCCTTGGAAACCCTTTAGGGCAGGGGTCCTCAAAACTTTTTTGAATGGGCCCAGTTCACTGTCCCTCAGACCTGTTGGAGGGCCGGACTATAGTTTAAAAAAGAACTATGAACAAATTCCTATGCACGCTGCACATAGCTTATTTTGAAATAAACAAAATGGGGGCAAAAGCACCCGGCAAGCAGGACAGATGTCCTCGGTGTGGACCGTGGGCCGTAGCTGAGGACCCCTGCTTTAGGGTGACACTATGCATTGGAATATGGCTGATGGCAGTAGGTTTTGGGTGGAGGGGTTTTTAGAAGGGAAAAATCGGACCCAGGTAGAACCCTGGAAAGAAATAGGCGGCACCTTGATTGGCAGCTCCTGGTGGCAGTGGCCATGGGTTAGGGCAGCGGTTCTCAATCTGGGGGTCGAAGGACCCTTTCACAGGGGTCGTCTGATTCATAACTACCAAAATTACAGTGAAGTAACAAAAATAAGTTTATGGTTTGGGGGGGTCACCACAACATGAACTGTATTAAAGGGCTGTGGCATTAGGAAGGTTGGGAATCACTGGGTTAGGGGGTGAGGATTCCCCGTGAAGGTACCCCAGCCCCAGCCTGAGCTGAGCTGCCCTGCCTGAGAAACAGGCAGAGGTATGGACAAGGTGGGTGGGAACAAGGGTGAGGGGAGACAGGAGGTATAGGATGAAGGCTTGTGGCGCCAGGCTGAGAGCTGCTGCCGCCTCCCCTGCTGACCCTGCCACTTGTAGCAACGATCTTGTCCCCCCTCTGCCCGCCTTGCTCCCGCCTCACTCCTCACTCCTCACTCCTCACTCCAGGGCTCTGGGGCCCAGGTTCTCTGAGGCTTTCCAGTGGTCAGTCTAAAGGATTAAAGGCTGCCCTTCGGGTAGCCCCTCCCCTATGGCCTTCTTTAATTTCCAGTTTGTTTTCTGCAGGGCCCCCTTGTGACGCATCCTGCCAGCTGCCTCCTGGTGGTTTTGAACAAGCGGTTTTTGGGTTAGCAGCGAAGTGCATTCACGGCTGTGCCGCCAGGCCTCCCCTC